TCATGATTGTGTGTGTGTTTAGAGTGTGTCTAGAGAGAATTTGCTTTTGTCCGTGTATTTGTGTGTGTGTGTGTGTGTGTGTGTGTGTGTTTGGCAGAATGTGCATTTGTGCATGTGTGTGTGTGGCTGTATTGGAGTGTGTGTTTGAGAGTGAATGTGCATGATTATGTGTGTGTGTTCGAGTGTGTGTTTTTTCAAGAGAAAGTGTGTGCTTGGGGGATTGTGTGTGTGTGTGTGTTTGAGGGAATTTGCATTTGTATGTGTGTGTGTGTGTTGGTGGGTAGAATGTGCATTTGTGTGTGTGTGTGTGTGTTTTAATGTGTGTGTGTTTGAGGGAATGTGTATGTTTGAGAGAAAGTGGATGTGTGTGTGTATTTGTGTGTGTTTAAGATAATACACATGTTTGTGTGTGTGTGTGTTTGGCAGAATATGTATTTGTGTGTGTGTGTGTGTTTGAGAGAATGTTCATGTTTGTGTATGTGTTTGAGTGAATTTGTGCTTTGTTCTTCTTGTGCATGCATGTGTGTGTGTGTTTGGTAAAATTTCTATGTTTATAAGTGTGTATTTGAGTGTGTGTTTGAGATAATGTGCATGTTTGTGTGTGTGTGTGTTTGAGTGAATCTGTGCTTGACTTTTGCCAGTTGTGTGTGTGTGTGTGTGTGTGTATATGTGCGTGTGAGAGAGAGAATGTGTGTGTGTTTGAGTGAATCTGTGCTTGATCTTTTGCCATGTGTGTGTGTATGTGTGTGTGTGTGTGACCTGTTGAGCAGCAGGTCCAGCACTTGTTTGGTGGTGGCGAATGTCCTGTATGTGCAGAGGAAGATGGTGACGTATGTGGAGTCGTTCCCCCTGAAGGCGGTCAGCATGTTCTCCACCAGCCGCTCCAGTGTTCCCGCTTTAATGCTGCGCAGCTTACAGGTGTGAGAGTCTGAGTGCTGCTGCTGCCCCCTGCTGGAGGACGACTGGTACACCTGCACCTTCCTCACGGTGATGCTGAACACCGCACCCTCCTCCACCTCCTCCCCGATCTCCTGACTCGCGTTCTGCACACACACACACACACACACACACACACACACACACACACACTAGTTCTCTGTGGACTGGGGGCTTCTGTTGTTTTCATTCTAACTAATCAATATTTCTATATCAGAACATCAGAACACCTGTTAGCACTGTGCTGTAAGAGTGTGTGTGTGTGTGTGTGTGTGTGTGTGTGTGTGTGTGTGTGTGTGTGTGTGTGTGTGTGTGTGTGTGTGTGTGTGTGTGTGTGTGTGTGTGTGTGTGTGTGTGTGTGTGTGTGCGCGCGCGCGCAGGTCTTTCAGTGATGATCAATATCTGATCATACTGAAACGTGAGATTCTGATAACTCTGTGTGTGTGTGTGTTCGAGTAAATATGCATGTTTATGTCTGTGTTTAAGTGTCTGTGTAAATGTGTATGTTCATGTGTGTGTGTGTGTGTATGACGGTGTGTGTGGGTTTTGTGTGAGATTGTGTGACTGTAAATGTGCATGTTCATGTTTGTGTCTGAGTGTGTGTGTTTGAGTAAATGTGTATATCCGTGTCTGTGAATGTGTGTGTGTAATTATGCTTGTTCATGTGTGTGTGTGTTTGTCTGTCTGTGTCTGAGAGAGTGTGTGACTGTGTAAATATGCATGTTTGTGTTTGAGTATCGGTGTGAGTGTGTGTGTGTGTGTGTCTGTGTGTGAGTGATGCTGAATCAGTTA